TATGTCATCGGCTGAGCTGAGTAAGCAGCGTCGTCTCTTCATGTTGCCCCATATTGCATGTCACTCCCTCGCTACCTATGCATTCTGCAAAACGATTCGGTCCTTGGGCTTTTTGTCTTTGTCACGATTGCTTGTCTTGCTTCTTTCTGGCTTAATGGAAAGGGCAGTATCTAAACTGTTACCTATTTGCAAACACTTCAATTCTCATTAGTCTGTAGTCTCTCTATTCCATAATTTACAGATGCTATGGTTGATTATGACTCTTACCTTTAGTGCAATTGTAGGTGTAAAATGAATATGGGCGCTTCAAAATGATAGAAGTAATGGAATTCTAGACGACACACCAAATATCTGTAGGTACATCTATGAATTTTGCATGTCATGGCGGATTTGCGTGGCTGCTATGATCACACACAACGAAGATTAAAGGGAAGCCTCCGTGCTGACACGCGCATTTACCCGTATTAACTAGACTGGCATCGTGTCGAGCATTTTCCTCTTCAACTCTGCAGTGTCTGAAGTCAAAGGAGAATGTTTATTCAAATTTAGTCGCGACATACACTCCTTTTGTCCTGTTACTGAAATCATATTAAGTAGATGAGTTATTAATCACAGAAATCATCACTCCTTATTCACCTCACTCTCTTCACCCTCCTCCTCTCCCTTTTCACACCAAAGCACATCACTTCGGTAACAACCGGTGTGCTTGCGCTAGAAGATGTTTTTTCAAAGAACAGCAGATCCTCCTGGTTACTGGGTATCAGTGCATTGTAGTCACGCCGGAGATCATAAGCAGTGGTCATAATGGTGCTTTGTGTAGTGTACGAATACGAAGCAAAACTGAGCGGCCACATCATCTTAAATCAGCCTACTCCATCAACACGACCACAAACCTCATTCACCCCCTGCAACGGCTCCTGCAATAGAAGAGTCAACAAAAGCGCTGCTTTGATTGTAAAATGCTACAAGATAGTTCACTTAAATTTGCTCAAACAATACTGAGGCTAAGTGATTCTGAGGTGATATTATGCGGGTGAGGTAAACCTTAAATCAGGTATCTCATAATATGCCAAATAGGTAGCCAAAACTAAGATATACCTCCAAGTAAATTACCATAGCGCCAACCCCATGCAAATCAAAAATGAGAAATGTGAATTTACTACTTTATTCATTTGATGAATTCCTTAATTAACAAAAAATGTGCTCAGT